CTCAGGGACACTTTGGATGTGTCTGGTGAGGGACTCTGAAAACAGGAGTGTGTGCAATCACTGCGACCTGCACGGCGTCGGCGTCACCTGTCAGTCTGGGAGCTTCCTCGGGAGCGTCCCGTTTTAGAAACCCCCCCCAGTGTTTGTCAGGCCGCTCCCGTCCCATCTGAGCCAATAATAGAGGCGTCAGCTGTGACTTTGGGCGAGTGAGAGGTGACGGGAGGAAGAGGAGTGAAAGTGAGACTGAAGGAGGGAACAACAGAAGAGTGGACTGTAAAGTGTTGCAGCCTCAACAAGCGCTCTCTGATTGGCTACCGTGGGGACATTTCTGTCCTTTAATTGGCCGCTGACTTGCGTTTCTGTGTCCTCATAGGTTGCTCAGGGGAGTTCCAGTTTTAGACTTTTACAGTGTGCCACATGCGTATGGAAACGCACACAACATGGGTCATGAAGTCAGAAGTTTCCGTGCTTTATTATTAACGAGCTTTATTATCACAATCTGGACCACAAGACACCACAAATGTTCATAAATCCACAGTGAACATCCACTCGCTTTTACAACAAGTTGATAAACTGCTGTTAGATTATTGTTGTTAGATTGCACACTTTAAAGTGTTTTTCAAGTGTTGATCTTCTTCTCATTCTAGCATAAGTATAATCGTGTCTACTTGTGTAATGATTTCAGCTCTAATGAATATAGTATATTGTGGCAATATTGTATCAATACACATCAAGTATCGATTCTTTATTATATCAATTGTACGTGAGAATTTATTTTTTTCCTTTGGGGACACAATTTAAAGTTGGTAAAAAGGTAATAAATTCCAATACATCACAATATTGCGAAAACTTTGCAAGAAAAAATTGCAAGAAAATCGAATCGTGACAGTAGTATCGTGATAATATCGTATCGCGGGGCCTCTGGTAATCAACCCCCCCCCCCCCCCCCCCCCCCCCCCGTATTTTGGGATTTTGGTGCTGTACGATATTTTCCAAAATAACATATATGGCCTTTGGAAAGTCTAACGACACACATGGGCGTTTCCTGTATCAGACCAGCGACAGGCTTACCAGATGTTACGTAAGTCACGTGAAGTTTAACTCGTGGAAAACCGTGTAAAATAAATAAATAAATAAAACTCCACATTTACTTACTAGCCGTCCTCCTGTGTGAAAGTCCTGAGTTTGCCTAGTCCTAGTTCTAACGCATCTTCTTACTTCCTCCGTTTAAACCGTCCTACGGCCACTAGAGGTCACTAAAAAGGTAAACATGGGTCACAATAAGCACGTGCTATGAACTTTTACTAAACTATAATGCCTTCAGATGGAGGACGGTTTGTCCTCTCGGCGCCGGCCTGTGTTTGCGACTTGTTGCCTCCTGTTGAGCACTCTCCCCTTGTGAAATCAGAAACTGTGCACCCCCCCCCCATCGCCTGCCTTTCATCAGACCCCGGTGACGGCATTAAAGTGTCGCGGAGAAGTTGAAACGTGTTTTGGGAGTGTAGTCTGCAGAGAGGCATCATGGGAAGATCACAGCTTCTGAAGGAACGCTGGGCTTTTTGTGGGTTCACAATATCCCTGTTTCCCAGCAGATGAGCACCTGTTACACGTTCTTAAAGCAGTACATCTCCTGTGTATCTACTTGCAGCAGTTTAGATGATATAAAAGAGCAGATCCCGACATTTGAAAGGCTCTTAATTGTCAGCTGATAGGCTAAATGATTAATGATTGTTGATTGTCGTATCATTCAGAGTTCAACACACTGCACAGATTATTACTCTTCAGATGAAAAGGGATCACTGCTGCCGACCGTCAGGACATTCTGTAAGCTTGTAAATGTTGCAGGGTAACGAGGCATGAAACGTACCTCAGCTGTGTTTGGACACGAGGCGTCCCCCCTGTTATTAACTCAGGATGGGAAATGTATGTGCGCTTGGCTAACTATAGATCTCATAGATCAGATTTTAAACAAACGGTCCTGTTCCCTCTTTCCTTTTAGCCCTGTGTCTCATCCCAATCACCCCCCCCAGAGGAAGAGAGACTGGTAAAAGCATGCAAGTGTCCGGTTAACAGTTTATTTATAAAGATGTCCTCGCAACCTGAGAGTGGAGATTGGGTGCAGCAGGGGAGCTGGTGTCACGTCTGGATATTTATTTTTATCTCTGAGCAGCAGCCGGAGTCTCAGTGAGAACGTATGGTGTTATCACTGAGTCTCGCTGAGGACCTGCATCTTTGTAGTACTTTACATGTACTGCGTGTATTACTGTGTGTATTACTGTACGTAATCAGTACGGTGCTTCATGTTCACACCAAATCAGAAACAGCTTGGAAAAGATGGAGGTTTGTGTGTTTTTTGGTGATTCCTCGTCTCAGGTTGTTTTATTTGAAGTATTTTAGTAGGCCAGAGGAAAAATTAATAAAGTAAACAGACTTCTGTGCGACCCCCCCCCCCAACTTTACTAAAAGCTAAATAGCTGAAGATCATTCCTTATTTTTTAAAAGTGGGTTTGATGTGACGTCTCGCCGTGTTCTCGCCTCGTCTGCTGCCACTACACTTCCATTGCTGTTGGGTTGTTTTGCAGAGCGTTGCCTCATTTCTTTTAGCGACGCAGCTCCTGTGGTTTTAGGAAAAAAAAAAAATCAATTAACCTGCAGGATTCAAGAAAACCATCAGCTTACATAGAAAACACTGCGAGAAACGAGGCCTCAGCAAACACGGCGGCGAGGTGGTTTTGTAGGCAGCTACTTTCAAGCTCTCAGTCGAGCACACTACCTTTGTGTTCAGTCAGAAACCCACTCTATTAGTCTGACAAGCACCAATTTAATTATCCCAAATACAACATGAAGCCAATTATGAAGGAGTTTGTTTTTGAACACGCTGCTCAGCTTTTCTGGATTTCCTGTTTCAGTGTGAGGAGCATCAGAGGAGTTCCTAAAAAAAGTCACAATCCTTGTGTTTCCTCAGCTCATCAGCACCCAAAATAAATGCAAAGCTCAGATCTGAGTGGCTTTTAATTTCCCTGTGAACAACATGTGGGAAACTCCTCCGGACAGTCGCCTCCGCCTCCGTAAATCTCAGCGCTCGCTGGTTAGGTAATTGCAGGGCAGAAAGAGGCTCTGAAAGACCCCGGGGCCAATAGGAATGCAGTCACACAGACAACGTTAAGTGCTTGTTCGAGACAAAGGTGTCGCCATGGCGCCTGGTGAACTAGTTCAGCCCGTGCAAACAACCCGAGTCTCCACCCCCACAAACTGGCCCCAGCTCCCTCGGCTGAATGCTAGAGGACCCACAAATTCTTTGCTGAAACTCGCCATGTCGCTTATGTGTAACAGCATCTCTCCGTGGTAGTTCTTTGATGTTTTCGACCAATCAGGAGGCACGTGGCGAGGCAGGTGTCTCTTTTCCTGTCCTCTCTGGGTGTTTTTGTGTGTCCTCTCCCTGTCCTGAACGTCTCTCGTGTGTCTCTCCGTCATCAGGTGCCGTGTTTGGGGGCAGCGTTGTAAAGTGTCGAGGTCACGACAGCTTTCTCGCCTTCGTGTCCATCTTTCTCTTCTTCATCCAGCAGCATGGGCGCTCCCTCGCCATTGTCACGCGGTGAATAGACAGGCTGTAGTTTTGGACAAGTGGAGAAGAGGGACATAAAATAAAGGCCTTGAAAGTTTTGGAGACTTGAGACAGGCCTTAAGCCTCTGGAGGATCAGGGAGGGCAGGAAGAAGCTAGAAAATGGTTTGGAAAAAGAAATCTGAGCAAGGTAGATGAGACAAAATGTAAAAGTAGAAGACACCCTGAGACAGAGAGAAGAAAGGAGAGAGAGAGTAGCGTTAAAAAGAAAGAGAAGTAGATGACAGCCTGAGCAACAGTGAAAAAGCAATAAGGGGAAATGGGAGGGATGTTGCCCTCGGCAGTGCAGTTGAAGGTAGCCTACATGAAAGGGATGGAGATTATCCCTGGCAGCCATCTTGGACTACTTTCAAGAGGGCTCGGTGAAACTTTTTAACGCTCCAAATAGTGAGCAGAAATAATTCCGAGGTGGCATCAATGAAAAAATAAATTTCAAAGTGTAAACATCTTGACTTTCACCGAGCTGAAAAGGTAAAAGTTGTAGAGGAGAGAAGAATTGGAGTTGGAGCTGTTTTACCTCCTGAAGTCGACTCTTTGGATAAAAGCTTTAGCGGCGGGGGGGTGGGGGGGGTGTGCTTGTGATTAAAAGCAAAGTTTTGTCCGAAGGTGATGCACGGCAAGGTCGAGGTGGCGGCAACAAAGGGTCTTTTTGAGTTGGTCAGAAGCTACCTGGGAGGCCGTGTGGTGTTGTTGGCGGAGAGCTCCTGCGGCGATTTCACTTTCTCTGCTGCGGGGCAAAAAGCAGTCACAGCGGGGCTCTCTCGCTCACTCTCTCCCCCTCTCTCTCTTTTGCTTTCATTCTTTATTCCTGTTTTCCGTCTATCTCTTTCTCTCTTAACGAAAGCCCTTCGGTGGGGGGGTGGGGGGGATCATTTGTGTCGTATAACACACACACACAGTTGCACAGGAGGGGATCCTCTCCTCCATGAAAGAGCTGTATGAATAACAAACCCCTGAGTTCAGCCCTCCACACCGACAATGGCCGTGCACACACACACACCTGCGCACACACACACACACTCAGCCTGACCCCTCTCACAATAGAGCAGGCATGCATTCATTAGCGGTTCCAAGAAAAGCTTTGACTGGTTCAGCATTGTTGGCTAATCCAAGGTCCCACCGTATATCACCTCCACATCTATCCGTCTTACTCTCTCTCTCCATCACATCTCTGTCAAACTGTCTCTCTCTCTCTTTTATTCCCCGTCCACGAATCAGTTTAAGGGGCTGAACTTATCGAGAGGATTGACTTTAGATTCAGCGCGAGGCGCTTTAAGTCGACGCGGTGACGAGTATTGAGTGGTTGGAAGCGTCTGGAAGCATCTCCCCTGACCATGTCCTCTGTCTTTCTCTCTCTTGTTGTCTGTCTCCTCACAGATCTCAAAGGCGCTCGGCACAATGGGGCTCCTAAACCTCTGAGGGCCGAGCACAAAAGCACCAGGGGGAAGAGGACGAATAAAAGCCAAGGGAGGAGGGAAGACGAGGACAAAAGAGGAGGAGGCGGAAGAGGAGAAGGAGGGAAGAGTCTTGCCCGGCGCCAGCCAAGCAGGAGTGGGCGGAGAAGGAGAAGGAGGGAGGGAGATTTGAAAGGAGGGATTTGCTCTATCTGTCGGGGGTGCATGCTTCCCCCTCTCCCACTTAGACATCCTCCTTTTTATTTTTGTTTTCTGCATCAGTGACAGGCCGACAAAAGGCAAAGAATGCGTAATAAACTAAGTTTGGGATGCCTCGGGGCGAGCAGGGGCCTCGATGTGAGACTACCCAGGACTAGAGCCTTGCTGCTGGGCTTGCTTCTCGCCGCAGCGGGCTGGCTCCCTCCGCCGGCCCACGCAGAGGTGGAGATCAACGTGCTGGGCGAGATGGTGTACGTGGAAGAAGGCGAGAGGGGGGGCGGAAGGAGCGAGCTGGAGGCCTCCATGCACTCCTCCTTCATTCAGGACTTCCAGGAAGCGACCGAAGGTATCCGGGCGATGGAGGATGTCGCAGGTGAGGCCGCGGTGACTGGGCAGAACATGGCCGCACCCACCGCCTTCCCAGACTCCTCGGCGGTGGTGGGTCGGATCTTCCAGATGAAGGTGCCAAACAAGATGGAGGATGTTTACCTGGGTGATATTGTCAAGGTGAGTCCCAGCGTCGGCACTTTCTCCTCACTAACTAACACTTGTGTTGGGCTAAAATCGGCTTCCTTATTGTTTGCACTCCCGCTGCTCCGTGAGAACATTTACTAACAACAATAACTGCAAAACCTGTTTTTGTCCTTGAAATGGCTTTTCTTCTGATTACTGATGAAGGTGGTTTATATAGATGTTTTATATGCAGGTGGGGCTGCATTAAAAGAAAGAAGAATTACTAAGAAGAAGAATTAAACGGCAACAATATCCAGTTATTAATCCAAATACTGCTGCGTTACCAGAACGCCTCTTGTTTTGTTGTCCTTGACGTGTATGCACCGCTGCGCTGCAGGTCAGCGGCAGTTCAGGTCAGCTGTTAGCCAAGAAGCTAAAGGACGAATGGAGAAGGAGGGAGAGGGGCGTTCTTCCCACAGCTGGAAGTATTGCTGTTACTGTGTCAGTCTAAGATGCAAAGAACTGTGTCGTCCGTTGTAAAGTTTTTGTGATTAACCAGAAGCTTTCAGCCGCTAACAATTCTACTTCTGCTTTACTGAAGCAGCATCTGAAGCAGCACATATCCTATACTGTACAGCAGGGGTCAGCAAATAAGTCTGGGGCCAAATGTTTGTCATTAGATGGCGCGCCAGAGGATCGTCAATTGACCATTTAGATTTCAACATTTACTGTGTGCGATTAGCTCAGTTGGTCGTGCACAGGACTCCCGTTCAGAGGGTTGTGTGTTAAATCCTCACTGGCTGCTTAAAGTATTTTTTCTTCCCTTTTCAACAAACTGATTGTGACCTTTGGAGCTTGTTTTCATTTGCCCAGAATCTCCAGGCAGATAAATTTCCTGCTTTTTTCATTCAGGGGAATCTGATCTCACGTTTTTCAGAGGCGTGTCAAGTAAGCCAGAGACTCTTTTGAATTTCCTTCAGAACTTTTCAAAGTAAAAGCTCCCAATTAAACACGACATAAAGTACTGCTGCAAAAATGTGCTCACACTTATTCTGTAGGCACAATCACTTAAGAGGAAGTGATTATGTGAGTAACTGTTGCTGTCTGCTGACTGAGATCTATTTCAGCACCAGCCGCTATAATAATTTTTTGGCTGCTATCAAAGTAATGGGGCCGCCTATTGCCGACTACTGCTGTACAGAATCATCTGCTCTGAGAGGCTGCAGTTTAGTCATTGAAAGAAATATAGTAACATGACGAGTAAAGTAACTAGTTACTTTTAATACCCAATAATAAGTAAACTCACAACTAAAACGGAACTTGTTACGATTCCTGAGTAACTTGCTGAACTCTATGCAGTCTACTGTGCATATATTTTATAAAATTCTTTTTGTTTGACAAAAGTTACAGAAATGTAAGCTGTCCAGCACAGTGACATTATTTTCTGTTACTTCCTGTCACGCATCTTATTCACAAACCTTTTGGGACAGAAAGTCAACATCAATCATGGAGTCATCATGAAGTACTCACAATGTGATGTTTTTTTTTTTTTTTTTTTTAAGCATCTCCATGACTCCAAACACATCACGGGGGGTTTAGGGTCCACTGTTACATAGTAGGGGTGGGAATCACCAGAGGCCCTACAATATGATATTATCACGATACTTCTGTCACGATAAGATATTGCCACAATACGATATTACCACGATAAGATATTGCCACAATACTTTGGTCACGATATGATATTACCACGATACGATATTACCACGATAAGATATTGCCACGATACTTCTGTCACAATATGATATTACCATGATACGATATTACCACGATAAGATATTGCCACGATACTTCTGTCACAATATAATATTACCATGATACGATATTACCACAATAAGATATTGCCACAATACTTCTGTCACAATATGATATTACCATGATACAATATTACCACGATAAGATATTGCCACGATACTTCTGTCACAATACAATATTACCATGATACGATATTACCACGATAAGATATTGCCACAATACTTCTGTCACGATATGATATTACCACGATACGATATTACCACGATAAGATATTGCCACGATACTTCTGTCACAATATGATATTACCATGATACAATATTACCACGATAAGATATTGCCACGATACTTCTGTCACAATACAATATTACCATGATACGATATTACCACGATAAGATATTGCCACAATACTTCTGTCACGATATGATATTACCACGATACGATATTACCACGATAAGATATTGCCACGATACTTCTGTCACAATATGATATTACCATGATACAATATTACCACGATAAGATATTGCCACAATACTTTGGTCACGATATGATATTACCACGATACGATATTACCACGATAAGATATTGCCACGATACTTCTGTCACAATATGATATTACCATGATACAATATTACCACGATAAGATATTGCCACGATACTTCTGTCACAATACAATATTACCATGATACGATATTACCACAATAAGATATTGCCACAATACTTTGGTCACGATACGATATTACCACGATAAGATATTGCCACGATACTTCTGTCACAATACAATATTACCATGATACGATATTACCACGATAAGATATTACCATGATACGATATTACCACGATAAGATATTGCCACAATACTTCTGTCATGTACCGATATTACCACAATACTTCTGTCACGATACGATATTACCACGATAAGATATTGCCACGATACTTCTGTCACAATACAATATTACCATGATACGATATTACCACGATAAGATATTACCATGATACGATATTACCACAATACGATATTACCACGATACTTTGGTCACGATATGATATTACCACGATACGATATTACCACGATAAGATATTGCCACAATACGATATTGCCACGATACTTTGGTCACGATATGATATTACCACGATACGATATTACCACGATAAGATATTGCCACGATACTTTGGTCACGATATGATATTACCACGATAAGATATTGCCACGATACTTCTGTCACAAACGATATTGCCACAATACGATATTACCACGATACGATATTACCACGATACTTTGGTCACGATATGATATTACCACGATACGATATTACCACGATAAGATATTGCCACAATACGATATTGCCACGATACTTTGGTCACGATATGATATTACCACGATACGATATTACCACGATAAGATATTGCCACGATACTTTGGTCACGATATGATATTACCACGATAAGATATTGCCACGATACTTCTGTCACAAACGATATTGCCACAATACGATATTACCACGATACGATATTACCACGATACTTTGGTCACGATATGATATTACCACGATACGATATTACCACGATAAGATATTGCCACAATACGATATTGCCACGATACTTTGGTCACGATATGATATTACCACGATACGATATTACCACGATAAGATATTGCCACGATACTTTGGTCACGATATGATATTACCACGATAAGATATTGCCACGATACTTCTGTCACAAACGATATTGCCACAATACGATATTACCACGATACGATATTACCACGATAAGATATTGCCACAATACGATATTACCATGATAAGATATTGCTACAATACTTCTGTCATGTACCGATATTACCACAATACTTCTGGCACAATACAATATTACCACGATACTTCTGTCACGATACGATATTACCAAGATACTTTTTTTTATTGCGATTTTAAACATATTGTGATGTATTGGAATTTATTACCTTTTTTCCAACTTCAGATTGTGTCTTTTTTTCTAGTGCACTGAAAAAGCAACTGGTTTTATTATTATAGTACCAAAAAAGTAAAATTCTCACATACAATTTATATAATAAAAGATCGATACGACCATATGTCGAAACAATATCACCATGAAAAATATCGCGATACTATGCTGTATCGATCCTCCCCCCCACCCCACCCCTACTACTTTTAATGAAGCAGCCACATGGCGGCGGCGGCGGGGAGCTTAAGACTCAGTGAGCGAGTCGACTCCAGAGGAATAACACTCTATGTGCCTGAAAGGACGCAGCCGTGTCACCACCGGCCCGGAGGAAACCCAGTGAAAGCCATTTGGAGCAAAATGCCCTTTTTTAATTGCCCTGCGTTTCCCACAATGGCCAATTTTCTGTAATATATGTAGCCTCATATCTTAACGGGGGGCTTTAGTAGCATCGCCCTCCCTCTCTCCTTGCTTCTCTTTCCGGCCTTCCTCAGTCTAATCCCCCGTTCATCCTTCTCTTCTCCTAATGTCAGTTCCTCTCCTCCTTTTTATACTCGGTTTAACTCACCCTTCTCCATCTTTGCCTCCATGTCTACACATACTTACTATACTCTCACACCCAGTGTTGTTTCTCTCCGCTCCCTGCCCTGCTATCCATCCTCGCTCTCACTCCCCCAGGCTAAACCTTTAATATTGTACACTCCCTTCCTTCCTGCCCTTCATCTTCCTCGCATCATCTCCAGCCAGCCATCGCTCTAATCTCGCTATCCGTCCATTCTGCTGTTCATCCATCCCCTCCCCCCTTTCTTCTTTTTTTTTCTTATTACACCATCTTCTCTCGTTCCCCCTTCCTCCATCCTTACGTTCACTCTTCCTCCCTCCCCTCCTCGCCCCTTTATCTCCCTCTATCACCTCCCAGCCTTTTAATATCCTATCGCTTGCTCCCTCTCCTCTCCCCTTGCCTCCGTCCCTCTTTTGCTTTTAAGTCCTATCTCTCCCTCCACATCCTTCCCTCCCTTCGCTCCTTTCTTCCACCCGTCACATCGCATCAGATCATATCAATCAAGCTCCCCGGTGACGAGCCGCATGAAAACGCACTCATACTTTTAACTGCTGTAATAAAACCCAGTGTCACTACACAGGGGAAGGTTGTTTCTACACACGTATTTAAAAAGAGGACTGAATAAAAAGGATTCACAGAGGTCTTAAGTTTGGCCGTATATTTTGCAGCAGCAGTTACCAAACGGCAGATTTAATTTCCTGCTCTTCAGGTTTGCATGAAT